CGGTGGCGTTCTTTTTTGTCTCTGACACTGAAACGGTCACGGCTTGCTTAGAAACAATCGAGTATTCCGTCTGCATTGTCCAGTCTGTACGGTAAGATAAATGGCAGCAAAACGGGAAAGAAGGAGGTCTTGCCGGAATCGCGTCGCGGTTCATTCATGAAGTCGTTCTTGCGCGAAATTGCATGTCTGATGAAAGAACCGCTCTACCTATAGTCGGATAGAAGGCAACGAACGAATAGGAATGCCATTAATTATACCAATTGCGCAATTGCTCCTATTAATTGGATAGTTCTTCCTATACGAAAGGTATCAAGTACTAGTTTTAGTTGTTCTAATGATTGTTTCATGAAATATAATTCTCACTGTGTATAAGTTTATTGTACCTACGCAACGTGTATTATTCGATGCAAGCAAATCTTGACGCGATACAGACCCGCACGAGACAAATTAAAGTTTTTCGCGAACAAACCTGTCCGTAGACCACCGCGAACCTGTCTCCCTTCGCTTCAACTGGCTCCTCTAGAAACGACATAAATTATCCGATCTTGTTTACTCACCTCGCGCTTTGCAACAGTTTTAATTTTTAATTCTTTACACGAAAAGAATTGCAAATTGATAAGATCAATGCTTCTGTCATTCTTAATCTTTTTAGTTATTAATAATTTTTTGTTGCTTGCGAAAAAAATATCTCTTACATTATCGAATAAAACCCAATATAACATTACTCAATAAAAAACAGAGCTTAGCAGAGTTTGCAATCTTATTAGAAATGGTACGATACCTTTAGATTTAAAGCACGGTGAGAAAACGTAAATAAAATCTATATTTATTCCAGATAACGTCTAAATATTATAGCGTTAACAGAAATTATTGATGACGTATATACCATATATGTAGCACACAATATTTTTAAAAAAGAATCATTATTTTTTTAGATATAAAAGTTCATTTTTTGATATTATATTCTTTTCTTTTAATACTGATAACAAAGTAATCAAATTTTTACAGAGATCGTAATACCAACGTATTTGAATAAAAAATATTAAGTATTAAATCTGATAAGACCGTACATGTGAGAACACAATAAGAAATAGAAATGAAAGGCCTGTAACGGTCGAAGCTGGATCTTTGATGCTTAAATAATTCAATGTAAATTATACATAATAACTGTATACGTACATGCATATTACTATAATATATATTTATAGCTTTATCAAACTATGCGCCGAAATTTTTCCCGGATTTCTAAACGCAGCTAAACTACATAAAATAATGTCACAATTAAATTTTGATGCTCAATAGTCATCTATTAGAGAGATTTTAATACAACAGAAATCTGTAATACAACAGAAATATATTTTCATAAATTTATTATTTATGAAAAATATTACCTCGGTCGAGAGTCAAAACTAGATCTCTTGCATTCTGTGCGTACTTATAAGCTTTTAGACTATCGAAACCTTAGTAATATTCTTAACAATAATTAGAATATATATATGAAAACAACAGTATTTGAATAAATTTTCCATAGATATAATATATTAACGTCTTCTTCGAAGATTGTCAGTGTTCTCGCGATTTTAGCATTACACCCGTAGTTCGCCTGTCTTTTCCGGATACGAGATGGCAACCAGTTTGCTGGACGCTCGGTGGTTAACAACATCGTCTTTTTTCATCGAAGCATATGCCGCGGCTCTCTATATTAGGAAACTTGCAGTCACGTGTATAAGAGGAGATAGAGCGCGTAGGCGCACAAGAGAGCAAAAAAAATACGGAAATTCGATACGAACCTCGTGGATTCAAACTGTACTGATTGTGAGATATGTTTTAAGCACATTCGCGGGATGTATAATTATTCTTTCTTAAATTCAGTTACAATATTAATTCTTTGTACGCGATTATTAAATGTTTGCATCGAGTCTAACACATTCCTCCCGTTCCTTCCCAGGCTTCCCCTCGCGCTTGCCAAAATTTCTTTTTTTTTTCAGCATGCATTGCGTCCGTGACCGTATTAGGAAACTTGCAGACATTGTGTCTGGCTCTCCCAACACGAATGCCCAACGATGACGACGAAGCAATGAGCGGTTCTGTTCCTCCCTCCTCTTTCACTTTGCAATTGGTAATAATTGCGAATGCGATGAAAGTTTCCACTTTGCATGATTTCTTTTTGCTGAATATATATTTTTCTATTTTAAAGCGTATGAATAGTTAATAAATTAAACGTAATTTAAGAAAAATTGTGTAAAATATTAAAATAGATGCAGTTCTATGTTAAAAACGTAATAAAAAAGACCTTTTTTAAAAAATAGGTGATGCAAATTAATTAGCGAATTTTCGATTTGCCAATTGTGCTTGTGACAATCGTCTCTGTGAAGAACACGAGTAATTTTTTCACGCACACGTGAATGCAGACACGCGTGTAAATGGATGTGCGTGTGAGTGCATCGCACGGATACATCGATGATAAAAAGCTTTCAAGGTAAGCCAGACCGACATATGAATGGTCGTATGCATGAATGGGTGGCTATACGCACTCCGGAGGGACTAACCGGTGGATGCTGTGCTTGTTATGTGTCCAGCTAGTGCATATATATACAGGGTGTCTCTTAATAACTCAATTGACTTTCCTCTTTGATTATGTTAGTACAAACTGCTAATGGACTGCATACCTCATAACAAAATTAAGTGAGAAATGTTTCCGACAATCATTTGATCAACAGAAATTTGCACGGAAATTCAATTATTAATTAATGTCAAATTCTTTTATTTTACTTCTATGAATTATAAATTTATATTTTGTTTAACATTTTCATTAAGTAAAGGTTGATTGTTGTTTAAAAGACATGGCACCTGCTATTTGAGTTATAGTCATCAATTGTGCGACACCTTGTATATAAGTATGTGTGTGTATGTTGTCTCGTGTGGCCTACGCGCCTCTCTTTCTCCGCCTCGTGCGGCGGACTCACAAATGTGATTCGCGATCGCAACATCCTGCCGCTGGCGTCACATCAATGAAGCCGATATACGGAAAGAAGTATCTCAAAGGGTTTAATTAAGATTCCTCATAAAGCGGCTTTTTCTAATAAAGCGCGAATTTGGTAAAAAAAAATCGCGAATACAATATTCATGAACATGGAGCTCAATGCTAATAAATGCCGTGCCTCGACACAATCGGAATTGTTCATAAATTCATCTTGTGCACGTTGAATTTTATTTCGATAGCGCGTTCTTTTCTTGACGCATGTAACCCTTTATGATTGGACGGTGTACGATTTTCTGCAACACGGGACTTTAATAAAAAATCACTTTAACAGGTGAAAGGTGAAACCAATCAATTCGATCACATCAACAAAAAGTAATGTAAGTGCGAAATCATAATTTTTCAAAGTCATGTTTACAACAGCTTCCCTTCCAAAGATAAAATTAAAGAATCCAGAATTAAATTCGAATAAATGTGTATGTTTAAGCTCAAATTTTTAATTATTAATATTAACGTTTATATTGTATAAACATGTATGTACACTGTGATAAATATATATGTTTTAAGGATATATTATGTACATGCATATATATATATATGTATAAAACTCATTGTCAGTTGTACTTTTTATTGATGCTATCAAAATCAATGTGAAAGATTATTAGTAAATCTGCACTAAAAACTACATCAATAACAATTTATTTTATTATTACTATAAAGATTTCTCGTTACAATGAGCATAAGAGAGTATAAAATAATTTTACTTGTCGTCGCTCTCGAAGAAGGACAACGGCACGAGTATAGGACGGTTTTCAACTTGTATAGTTATCCTGCGTAACGGTGCATTATAAGTATGATGAGATAACCGATTCGATCCAAGAATCGCGTTTCCAACATTTGGGGTTAAGAATTCAATGTTCATATAAGATATTGGAAGACGATACATTTTCAGTAAGCGTAATGTTTCTTTGTAATAATTAAATTGTATAATTAATATGAAGATTATTTTTTCCTTCTACTGATATCGAAAATAAAACTCACAAAATTATATCGGTTTCAAATCCTGTTTTGAATAGCACGTGCACGCATATTGCTGAAATGTTACCAAACATTTCAATTGCAAAATAGTAATTGCGTTAATTAATCTAAAAAATAAAAGTTTTGTAAACTGTAAAAATAATTTCCGTACTAAACCCCATTGTTGCATTTTATTTAGTATCTATACAAATAGCTCGCGTTTCTAACATTGGCGATATGTCCAATCGATTGCGCGTAATGTTGATATAGAATTATGTCTATTGTCGCATATAAATTCGCGTTTGTTTTTCATACCTGCGGAATTATCCGAGTTGAGGCTATGCACAGTATCGATCTATATAAATATCCATCATAAAAACAAAAAACATGTTTACAATTTAAAAAGAATATAAATAAGACTAGATTCCATTAGAGATGATATTTCGACGATTCACTTAGAAAAGTATGACGGTATCGTTACAATTAAATCTCACTCTGATACCATCCCAAATGCAACGCAGTCCAATATTGTCTAAAAATGAATTATCACTGCACAATTCTAATTTCAATATGGCGAGAGCAAAATCACTCTTTGGTTAATCAATTCTCTATTGTGATTTTATGTACATTCCAGTCTCTCATCTTTGGCACTAAGCTATAATCGAGTTTACCATATTTTCGTGAGGTCAAGACACGTTGTGTTTAAAATGTGCTTAAAATTGATTTTTATCACAATAATATAATACATTTTATCATAAGGTAAATAGAGAAATTGAAAGATTAGATTTTCCATACACTGTCTATTGCTATTTAAAGCTTCGAAAGACCATTTTTACTGTTTCGAAATATGAATTTAGAAAACATCTTTAATTATCATTTAAATACCAAATTTTTTTACTAAATTTATCAATGCAGACAATATAAGTATTTTTGTAAACAAAAAAAAGAAATTAACAATCAAAGAGTAATATGAATTGCATCATCATATCATGACCTTCGTTCGTCGCGAATACTATGCCTCACGTAAGGGGTAAAGTCCGATGATCTTCCACAAAGCTATTCGGTACATCCAGCAAATTGCCACGAGGAAGCGGCGAGGGAACGAGAGTGGTATCACCGTCGACTTCAACATCAGCTACGTCGTTATCTATAGCAACGGCAGCACCGCTACCACAACCGCTCAATTCGCGTACATTACCGGGTAAATAGTCTTTCCAACTTCTGAACAGATATCTAGTAAATTTTCTGAGTTGCCGGAACTTGCAGTAAGTAGCGCCTTCTGCAGATTCCAACTGTTGCGTCTGAATAAGGAAACCTTTTTCCTTGAAGGTCTGCTCCAATTTTTCGCGCTGCAGGGATTTTCTGGTTTTTCTCTTTCGCCGGCCATCGTCCTGACTGGTTGGACTTCTCTGACACACCGTCGGCGGTTGAATCCTCTCACCGGCAGCATTGAGAAAGGCCCCGGCGGCGGAAGTGGTTCCAGATTGGCCCGCTGGTTGCTGGAGAGCCTCTCTAGGAAAGAACTCGTAACCGCGCATACTCTTATCACCAGTACCACTGTAATAGCGGAAATTGCCACCTGAATCTACAGAGAGGCTTTTCTTCTCTTGTAAGCTAGGCTTAGCGCCACCGGTAAATTTGAATTTACATATGCTCACTTCTGTCGCTGGATTATTGTTGTTTTCGGTTGGCATCGGTGGTATAAATATAGCGGAACGTTTCCGTTTAGTTGGTTGACTCTGCTGCTGATTCAGGGGTGCATTTCTCTTCGGTCTGGGCGAAGTAGATGTAGCAACCGACACCGGTATCGTCTGAGTTACAGGTAGTGCTGACACTTGGGCCGTATTCTTCGTCTCCATCATTGAATATATCGATTTTGGCACAATTTTTTGTTCTCTCGGTGGTTGATCCGTTGTCGGCGGTGGTTGATCCTTGTCATTTTGGGTGACTTTTTGATAATATAGCAACTGGGATTGCAATGCCATTGGATGAATAAACACCCCAGCATTCGGCCAGTACACGAAGCCGGAGTTGTGACCGATCATAGGATCGATTACATTGTTATTATGATTGACAAAACTGTTATTCGATCGATGGCCAACTGATTCCGAATAATTCACCGGTTCTGACAAGCAGCTCGTCCCTAAACACTCTACTTCTTCACCATCGCTAGATGTTTCACTCTTCACCTGGCCAGACTCGTATACGTTTCCATGTTTCCGCAGTAAACGAATCTTCAGTTGATTGAGATCCCTGATGCAAAGATTCAGTGGCTCATCTTGCTCCCGCGAATTCTCAGACAACACGGAACTCCTCCGAGTCTCCTGTGTCAGCCGTTTTTCCAATAAACTGCTGATCCTGTTCTGGACATCAGTCCTTTGAAAAGGTACTTGAGGCGACACACGCTCCTGCTTATCACGAGGTGACAATTTTTTCTCCTCATGACCAGGCGTGCCTGGCAATATCGTGCCATAATTCTTGTAAATCAAATGGCATATATCGGCCTTTTTCGGTTTCCGGCCACGTCTAGGTTTGCTATTATCGAGAGTGATTTCACCCATGTACGGTAGATCGGAATATTTCATGGGAGGCCTGCTAGACGTATGCGTCTGTTGGATATGATGACTGGGATAAGTTGTATTGCAATTCTGCGAAGACACGGACGTAATGACGGATCTTCTAGTGCCCGCGGTGACTTGATTATGACCGAGGGTCGCTGGACATTGAGGCGGTGCGATCTGCGGACAGAGCTCCTGCTGCATCGCCGCGATTCGCTGTAGCCAACCATGAACGTCGGCGACGGGACTTGGGGTAGACGTCGAGTTGGTTGGCGCTGGACTGGATGCTGTTGGCTCAATGATGCGTGGCGGTGACAAATTCAGGTTTTCCTGAGCAAGTGATGCTTCATAATGATCCAAATATTCCGGTGGTAACGCTTGGTGATGAAATTTAAGTTTCCATCGCGATTTTCTGCGTCCACGACTAGAATATACGAAATTTCATATTTGATAATACGAGACTAGTATAGACCACATTTTCTCCAATATAAAACATTTCTGTGACAAACTGATACTGATTGAGCATCAAGAAGAGTTATAAGGAATAATAATTCTCTTCTATATATTATACTTCTATATACTCTTCTATATACGTATTTCTTTGTTTATTGAATTGTGCGATTGTTTGTTAAAAAGAAAAATTTTTTTTTCTAATTTTTTAAAAAATTAATTTAAGTAAAAAAGTAAAATAAAATTAAAAAAAAAATATTTTTCCAACGAAAATTGCAGTTATATTAAATTATTGCTATCCGTTAAAGTGAGAGAAAGGAAATAAAAAATGTACTTTTATTGCTGGTCTCATAAATTAATGTTGATGCCTTCGATATATATTATGTTAATACATTATTTGGGAAAAAAGTATTTGAGCTAGCATGCAATCGTGGCTATTATATCGGTGATATCGCTCTTTCATTAACGCCGGTTACTGCATTCCGAGCCACACCTTAATAGCGTTTTGTGCCGCGCGGTATCGGCGCCTTAGCACTTATATGCAGAGAACGTGTGTCGCGCTTCTTCTTCTCTAGTCGCGACCGGGACGTTTAATGAAATTCAATAATAACGGTAATCGACTCTCTCGCGACACGCATCTCGCTGACGTATATCTGCAAATTTTTTTCTTCTCGTACTCGTACAAGCGCGCGCATCACTTTAGAAGACTCGCTCGGCACGAACCAGTTTCCTGGCGCCTATCTTTCTTGTCGACGATCGCACTTAAAGCACTTTCCTGGACATCGGCCGGTTTTACGTTAAAGACGTCGTTAGAGACTTGACAAAAAAGATAAGAGATAGCCCGAGTCGCGTCGTTGCCGCGGATCGCGCTACCTGACAATGTAAGCCGTCGCGAGACATACTCATCACGCTCTTCAAACGCATGCTACCAGTTTTATCCAATAACAAAAGCATTCTGATTGATAAAGTACTGTAAAAATATTGTGTTACTTTCATTTCGTTGCAAAATCATTCAGTTTAAATAATAGGTTAACATGAAATTCATAAATCTGAGGAAATATAAGTACGTTTATACGGAAACAGTCTTTAAATTATACTGATTCTATTTAATTATTGATATACATAGAAATATATTGCGTATAAAATAAATAAAAGAAAAATAGATAGATCACCTGGTTCGTCCACGATTGCTAGAATCTGGACCAGTTAATACTAGATTTTCTTCCAGTCCTTGAATTTGATTACCGCCTTGCTGTCCATGCTTGCTGTCCATCGAACCCGCCACATTGCCTACGTCCACTTGCGGGCTATTAAAAGCAACAAAAAAGGGACTTTTATTTATCAGTGATTTTGGCAATTTTAATATATAATTTATCTTTTTTCTATTAATTTTCAATTGAGGGAAAAAGATTTCATATCCAAAATTATATGCGAATAGTAAACAAAGAAAGTTATGTCATTTCACTAGATTTTTAGTTTAATAATTGATATGGATGCACCAAAAAAAAGATTTTGTTACTAATGCTATATACTATTGCATTATAGATTCAATGTAAAGATAATCAAATTTTATTATACTATCTGTTAGGTAAAAATCTGTTTTTGTAAAAAATCTTTTGTCGAGAAAATATGCAAAAAAAAAAAAACACGAGTTTGCTATTAAAATAAATTTAATTTGCTGTTACAACGAAATTATTATCATAATTTATTTCTTAATACCAACTTTCATATAAAACTAGCGTTTATAAATCTATTTACCGTTTGTAGTAATTAATATAAAATTACTTGAAGAGATTTGCAGCTCACCTCAACGTGCTAGCATCGCGACTCCGCTCTTCTTCCTCCTGAGGCTCCTGTTTGACGGCCATGTGTATTAGAGGCGATAGCGGGCAACGTAAATGTACCGAGTGATGCAAATGATGCTGCAAACCAGCGCCGTCGGTGAGACTACTGTCTATGCCAATAGACTGTGTACGCGGCACGATTTCCTCGGTCTGCATAGTGCCCCCTGAAAATTTAAACATTATACATTATGAAGTTGATTCTTTCTCATATATGTTTCTTAGGATTTGTATCTTGAAATATGATCGCAAAAGTCTCGGAAATATTGTATAATCTTGTCAACCGACGATTAAACTCTAATTCAATTTTTAATGAAAGGAAGACATTTAGACATTAAAAACACAATCTTGTATGCAATTATTTTTAATTATAATAATCGAAAAAAGTTTTAGATACACTTAAAAGTAGATGTTTCGAAAGCTGTTTGCTATAATTTGATTCAAGTTTTAAAGACTGCGACTCCAAGTCAAATGTTCATTTAATTAGTCATTACTTATTTGACAACCATAACATTCAGTCATTCTCGATTAATTAAAAAAAAAAAAAAAACGAGGTCTGGTACGCAAACAGCTTCTACTTTCTTATTTCGGCGTTTGCAAGAACTGCGCGAAAGGTCGCGCGTAGGCCGTCGTGGAAGCCGGAGATCGTTGCCGGTTTGCGCGAGCGAATTGCAGAATATTCATAACCACTGTATTAACGAGCGGATTAATGCCATGCGCAGCGTGGTGAGTTGTGTTGCGTGGATTTGACGGGCGTGAGAAATGGCAGAAATTAAACGAATGTCTGACGCTCAAATGGATAAACGATCAAGCGCACCTATTGCCGTCGTTGCACCATTGAGCAGATCGCGTAGGCGACCGCGTGTCCGTTCAAGGATTCGAAATCGCACAATAGGGAACTGTAAGTAAGAACCATACGTTACATGAGAGAGACCCGCTTATTGGAAACGTTTCGTGAGACAGCTCGCATTAAATATTTAATTGACAACAATCATCTGTCGCGAGTAATTCATTGTCGAACTTTAAAGCCAACTCTTGTGCCGTTACTCGATCATTTTTACAATCACAACAATATCGTTTGCTGATATCTTCAAAAACTCACTATGTATCACATAAATATTATTCGTGACGTGAAATTTTTTTTATATTATGTAACAAGTTATAAGTAAAAATTGTAAAATAAGTTTATAGATATTATTGCTTTTACTGGAAAAATTTAATGAAGGATCAACGAAGCAAAAATGTCAGCGACCGACGCGGCGATGTCGGAAAACAACACGTAGAAAGAGGCTAAAACGGAGAAAGAAGGAGACGCACAGAAGACGAAGAAGTGTATTATACATACTGTGACTTTGCGCAGCACCGTTGGATAAAAATATTCCTGCGCGAAAATAGAACCGGCAACACTCCGGCACAGCCCACCGAACACCCGCAATTCCTGAGCCATACTTGGCCTAGTCTATCGGGTTTCAACGCCTCGCGAGAATCCGCTTAGGTATACATTGGCTGTCATTTGGTTACTTCGGGATGAGATATCAATACAAAGCTATAATGTCTTAAAAACCACCGGAAACACACATAATCGAGACTTATTTGCATATTCTGTACTCAAATGTATTAATTTCATTTTGCGCATAGATTTTAAAACAATATTTTCAAAGTTCCAGCGAAAGTAGAGATGTAGATATAACAAATACAAAATTGAGATAAAAAATCTTTTCTGCTATGTATAATAAATGTGAGATTCAAGACTCAATTGACTTGAAATTTAATTTCTACGTTTATTGAAATATGCCTAATAAACAACAGAAAAATGTACTAATCCGAGAAAAATTCTTTAGAAAATAAAAATTTCTAAAGAGGACTTTAAAAAGCTTTTACACTTTTAAGAGATTCGCAAAAGACAATTTTAAAAAGCTGAAATACGAAAAAATTAATATCAAGTTTTCTACAAATTCCGAGATTCAAGATTTTAAAGTTATACGATTTAAATTTCAAAATTCCACAATTTAAATTGTTGTTCAAATTTTAACTCGTGAAGAGTTTCAAGAATATCAGTTGTAATGTAAGGGTCCAAATGTTTTAGATTTTTGAAATACTGTTAATTAAATAATTGAACTTTTAATGATCTTAAGATGTAAAAAGTTTCACATAAAGTGAACCAAATAGCGAGTAAAAGATATTAATATTGATATGTACGGGAGGTGCCTCGTTTTCATTGAAGACCAGTTATAGAATGATGCAGGCGGGCGCGTAACTACAATTTATTTTTTGGCTATTTTTAGCGTTTGGCGTAGCGCCACTATTTTCGGTTCTCTCAAATTTCTCACTCCATATTTAGGATTATGGCTGATGGTATCGCGCCACACTAGGCATTTATGATTGCTGAAGCGTATACATTATACCATTGCAAATCTAATTTTATTCAAAATGTTAATCAGATTAAAAGATCATAAATGACGACCTCGCTCTAAAAAATTATAAACGTAACCAGCTGTTTATAAAAGGTATTTTCAAGAATCTAGCACAAATTCAATCTTCCCTTTTGTAAGACAGATATTTATAATAGATAAGAAAGTAGACACAATATGTGCGAGAGATTGTATTTTTTCTCATTTCTCTAATAATATTACGATTCAAACTTTACTTATTCACAGTGGCAACAAGTGGACGAATCGGAGCGGACGTTTGTTCCGCGGGAAAACATGTGGTCTCTTCCGCACTATTGGCAGAAGTGCAACTAGGTTAAAAACGGAAAGTCAGCCGCGGTGCTTGGGAGCATGTCAAGGTGATGCAATGACCGGAAAAAAAGAAATCCTTCAAAAAGATTTTGTTCTCACGCGTAATAACCAGAGTCGTCAAAATACATCCTTAAAGTCACAGATCAATATGCTCAAGTATGGCGACCTACTAAGACGGACCGTGATCCATTGGCCTGATTACAACGTCGCTATGGATCCGCAATTACGCATAAACACCCGCGCAAATCGCACAGCGCAGCGACAGTATCCCACGTGGAGAACAGTAACTCATTGTGAGGTTGTTCGATCGAGAAACGATCTTATTTTCTGTCGGTTGCTTTTTTGCCAACATTCATACAACCGGAGATTTTTAATTTACTTTAAATAAAAGAACGAACATTTGATGATTTCACATGTTACTACCGTTTGATTCTGTTGTAAAAAAATCTACGCTGTCAGAAATGTGTTAATCTCTTCGAGCCTGTTCAATATCGAACGCTGCTGATTACCTGTGACGGGAAAGTTGCTTTCCGGCAACATGAACGTATCGTTCTTAATGAATCCTCTTCTTGAAAACCCGGCAACTGGTTTCGCGTGCCGTAGACGCGTTTTTACGCTTACGTTACTCAAACGATCTTCATACACGATCAATTTTCGGTTAAAATGAATGACACTGCGGTCATCGTTGAACACGATCAATCGCACAAATCCACAGACCGCGATTAATCACCTTTGCCCGTTCAATGCACCGTGATCGCCCGTGTAATCTACTCTGTCTTGCGTGATTCCTTGGCTCAACTGCACTGCGAGATATCTCAAGAAAGATATTTAAAACAAAAACAGAAGATATAAAAGTAGTAAGGAAACGTGAGCACGTGAATGAACTTGTACCTACGTAGATAAAAAAAAAAAAACAGGAACTGTTAAGATCACAGGGAAAATAGAAAGACGGCAAGTGAATAGGAGAAAGAACGGAGCAGAGTGTTTTGGAGCACTTTTGGCACTGTTACGAGCGAGAGTGAAGTGGACAAGCGACAACTCCACCGAGAGCAACGTCTACACCTCCGTCGGAGGAGGAAGGACGGGGGGCGGCGAAACGACGACGACAACGACGACGACGAAGACGACAACCGCGACAACGACCAACCCTCCGCGGGCCAAGAAGAGCGAACGGAGGCGCGGGCGTATATTCTCGATTTGGGCGGATGGAAATCTGAGATTGCTCCATATTGGGCTGTGCGCCACGGAGGTGCTCTGTAATAGCAGAGCCTGACTTCTTCCCTCTCTTTCTCGCCCCTCACTCTCTCTCTCGCTCTCGCTCTTTCTCTTCTTCTTCTTCCTTCCCTTCTTCTACTACTACTGCTACTTCTTCTTCTTCTCTCTCTTTCGTATTCCCACCAGTTCTCACTTTGACATATAAGTGTGTGTATGTGCATGACCGTTTCTATCTTTTTCCCTCCATTTTCTCTTTCTTGTCCCTCCTGTTTCTCCCCTCTCTCTCTATATATGATGAGACCGACGAGGGTATATTTAACCCCGCGAACCACCAACGAGGAATCGAGCCGCGCACAAGCCACTTTTCTTATACTTGGTGTCTTCCTCTTTTTATTCCTCGTCCCTCGTACCGACTACTCGCGAAACGAATAATCGAAGAACGATCTTTCTCAGTATTTGCTAAAGTTCCTCTTACCATTTCAGAAATTTGTGTTTCCATTATTCAGTTAATACACTTAAAATGAGAGATGCGATTTCAAAGAATTAATTGAGACACGAGATATTTCATTCAAAAAATTGAATAAAGAAGTTTCATTTTGACGAACTAGTGTCGTTTTTCCCTAAATTAAATTTTGCTTGAAGCTAATATATATATAGATGATATAAATAGTAGTGGATCCATTAAGTATTATTGGACAAGCGACGTTGTCAAATTAAAAATGTCAATGTTACGATTCTTCTTTTCGATGCGAATTTGATATGTACATCGCATTGTAATCGTGAATGTTTGTTCTCCGTTTTACTGAAAATAGAGTTGAAATAAATAACTTCATTAACCGAGGCGAGTACGAGTCCAAAAAATCCCTTTCGAGATATTTCGCGATATCAACCAACTACATCGCTTATCGTGCGTGCATTCCGAATAACAGCCGGCAAGATCAATGCGTCGACATTCACGCGACCAACGGCACCAGGCCGATAAGTGAGCTAACGAAGAAACGGCGTAATCCGACATAACGCGTTATCTCTTGGTTAATGAGCCTTAAAGGCTTCTCTCTGTTGCCAGAGGAAGCTTCAGGTTTCCCACAGTGGCAGAGGCCGGATGACGCCTGGTACTCCGGGGACTCCTCCGTGCACCCCGTCCATCTCGTAATGTACGTAATTTATTGCGCGTCTGCATTGCACAAAGTGGCAAATGCATTTCGACCGCCGAATCACTGCCATATACATCCCGATGCGATTTAATGCGACTCAAAGGAAGTGTACTGCAGTCTGAGATTCAAGCGCGCACTGAAAAAGCGCAGACTTTATTAATGAGATTGTTAAAAATGGAGTGGAAAGCTGAGAGCAGGCTATTTGACACTTTCCCGGAAATGTCTCTCTTTTAATGCATATAAGCTTATAATCATTCTGCAAGATAATCGATTGCAATTGAATCAATTTATACGAAAACAGAAAGATACTAAACTTGAAACTTTTCTCTCGTATTAAAATTATTAAGCTTAATAACACATATTCTATAATTTAATATTTAAAATAAAAGAAAAATAATTTTAAATGAAAAATATATTCGTGCGTTCTCAACAAAAATTGTATATTCTATAGGTGAAAAATATATCATGTCGTTGAAAACGTTGTATTGCTATATATGTCGTAAAAACGAGCGCACTGTCCGATCGCCAGGATTTAAACGCTATTCCACGAACGTGCTGGATAAAATGCACGAGCTGGCGGAACGCGGAGTTGAAAGTAGCTGTTGACATATCGCTGCGAGGTATTGGGACACATCGGGCAAGTAGGCGGGGTGGTTTAACCTATACGGGATATAATATACGCCTCCATGGGATCGACGCCGGAGATGACAGTCGTATAAAATATCAACGCGTCCACGCAGAGAGAATCCCTATACAATAGACCGTACTGCAGCGACTCTCTGTTTGTCTGCCATTTAAAACTTAATGTTTGTACATTGGGTTTTGTATCGGTTTGCATATAATCGTCAACAGTGCAAATACCAGCTGTGCGCCTTGCATAACGCGACCTAGATACGCCTGGGAACAGCCACCTGATTCCTGAACGACGTGCGAGAGGAAGTACGCTCGACGACGCTGACGAAATGTGCTGTCGCGCGCGCGTGGGTGACAATTTTGGTGCTGAGCGTTAGTTACCGTAGACGCTAAAAGCAAACGTCATCGATTGTCCACGTAAGATCGTAGCGGAACTGAAAGGCCGCAGACAATGCAAACACGAAATATGGAAGGTCTCGATTGTGTATCTTGAGAATACGTAACACCAAAATTAATCCTTGATTATTATAATCGAGAATGCGTTTATTATATCAACACTTGTGCCTTTTGTCCACTGATCTTCAGATTGATGACGTCAGAAGTGGAGAACCAAAAATTCTTACAAAATATATTAAAACAGAAATATTGTTTAATAAAACAATATATTTTTATATTTAATAAAGTGCAATCGTAAAATATATCGAAAACTTGACTTTTTATTTCAGGACAGAATAAAATCATATCTCAATTCAACAGTTGCCGTATAGTTTCTTTCGTATTCTAGTTAAACATAATTCAATTTCAATTCAATTTCATGATTATTTATTGATACCGAATGAGACAAGGGAAGTTTTTAATACATTTTACGAATATGTAATAAAAAATAAATTTTTTAATACAGTTTTCGAGAATTGTCTTTATGTATGTACATATCCATTTTTCTCACTTCTGTCGTTACAAGTGCAGGAGCTTTAACAAAATTGAGAAAGAAACAAAGTTACAATTTTTACCGAACGCTTGGAAATTGAATAACCGGCACACACAATAATAACTTTCCCGGTTTAACCCAAACTTCATTCACTTCAAATTCATCTTACAGTAACCCGCATCGTTAACATCGTTGCCTTTATAGGGTCGTTAATCACTGTCATTGCGCCGGTAGTAGGCGATAAATAATTACAAAATACGCAGCTCGATCTCGCTGCATAATGTGAGAGCTCTGACACCTGTGAGAGCTCGATGTTGTTCGCTTTCGAAATATGAACGCAAAGTAATGTGATTCAGCTAAAAGTGAAGACTAGTGCAGTCCTCGTGAGGGCATCTGAAGAAGAGAAAACGAGAAAGAGAGATTTCTCGAGGCGATGATGGGCCACCTTAGTCCAAATGGATCGCCCACGTGATAGAAACCTGAAAGGAGAAATATAAGGCTATTCGCTGATACCGTTAAATTGCCTAATGTTCTTTTCCACAAAAATTATTTGATATACGTTGCCTTTAATTTAGCAATAGAGCACCTTGTAAGTAGTTTCGTGGGCGTATTTCATCGAGAACAAGAACGATGAGTTCAAATTCATTATACACTAAATCTTTTATTACTGTCTATTGATTAAGAATTAATAAACGCAAAGTCGGCTTCAGTGGAATGTGTTTCCAAGTCTCATGCCAACCTAATATCTTTGTATCGCGGGATACTAGTAATATATCGTGTTTATACCGTACTTGTAACTACAAATGTGTTTACATGAAATCAGTCTTTTTCTTGACAAAAATATCGATATTCACATTCATGGATTTTAATATAGTATAATGCAAAAAGTTAACAAATATATTAAATATAAAACATTGACACACATTTTTTTAAAGAAAAATTAAAACTGAAAACTAATAATTAGTAAAAGATTATATTTTTTAGTTAATTTCAAATAATAGCTATAATAAAATTTTAATTTAAATCTTATTGTTAGTTGTGGATATACATACAATTTCTAAAATTAAATCCAAAGAGCAATAAATATTTTCTTTTTACATTTCCGTTGACAAAAAGTTGCCACCAAATTGATCGTATAGAAATTACAGATAAAAGGATATATCTAACAAAATACACTGCATAAATTAAAATTCTTCATGACACCTGGCAGTTGTTTCGCAACACCACCTGTACGCAATGAACGCACGATCACAAGCGAGCAAAAGAAATTATCCGTGCGAGTCAAAGATGCAACGCAATCGTGTGCATGCATAATGAGAACGTGGCGCCTTTCGCACGTTGCACATTTTCCTAGCTTGCAGATCTGAGAGCAAGTAAAAAAGAAGATCGTTAATTGAAAGTGAATCTGATAATAATCTTGCCTCAGAGAAATGTTTGCAAGAAGCAGTTCAGCAACCGCAGTACATACCATATATACATAGTTACATATATATTTCTCTCTCTCCCTCGCCGATCGCCTCTCTGGAACTTTGATTGGTCGATCAAGGACCGATCAGACAGTCGTAAAACTTTTCTCAGCTAGTGAGTCCGAATACGAAACAACTTTGATGCAATGGAGAACTCACTCGCTATCCCCCATCTATATATCT